CGTGGGCCAGGGCGTTCTTGGCCTGTGGAGACAATGAGATTGAGACAATGAATTGCCTGTGAGACAAATGAATGTAAATTTAGGGAAAGTTGTTGAAAATTCTTTGAATCTGTCATTTAAAGTCAGCACTAGAAAAAAATGTGTATTGATTTCATGCTCTGAGAAGCTTTGCATCACTTCATTCACGAGAATTTAGAATTTTGATTGGTAAACTAAATTACGACTTTAAATGTTGAATCCTTTGAACTATATTCTAAAGTTTTAGCTTCTAATATGGAGGCTAAATAAGAAATACAGTTATTTAGAGATATTTCTTTTTTTATGTGCCATCAGTAATCTGAATAAAGTAATACGTTTTTTTTCTGTCTCAGTATCTAGATGGGATGGCCTCCTCAACTTTTCTTCCCACACTAAGAAGGGAGTTGGCAGAGTTGTCCATCTACTCTGAGAGCTCCAAAACTAAAATGAAATGGCTAATATACGTTGATTTTATGTGAGATTATTAAATATTCTGAAAGAAAATAGAATCTGAATCCAAAGTCAAACCTCTTACAGGAAATACCTTTACCTTTATTTCTTCCTCTAAATGTCTCTTTAGTTCCTCAATCTGTTGAGTAAATGCTTGTTTGCCTCTGGATAGCTGAGATATTAAAGTATCTTTTTCTTCCACCTGACGTGAAAATTCACCTGAGAAAATTTACAGATAGGCTTAATTTAAAATGAAAAATACTAACCTGATGTGCCTTTAACGCACTGTATGCCAGCTTACAGAGTATAGATCAATTTGACTAAAACATAACTCTTTTCTTGTCATCAACAGTTAAAGGTTCTCACATTCCATAGGAGTGTGGCGGTGTGTTACCTGCTTCTGTCTGCAGACGAGCTCTCTGAGTATTGAGGTCATTGATCATGCGATTGTGTTCCTCTTCTTTTGTTTTAATCTCACTTAACTGGTCTTCCAGAGTGCGACACATCTTCTCCAGGTTTGCCTATATATCAAATGCATTTAAAGAAAGAGGACTAACACTAATTTCTGACATTTTATTCTCATAACATAAAAATGCGCAAATGTGTGCGACATAAAAATGTAATCAGAAGGTTAAAAATCATGTATCAGGTTACACATTATAGGGCAGTAACCAGACAGAAACTTTGTACCTTGGCTTTGGAGACAGACTCCATGTTACTGGCCAAGTCATCAATCTCCATCTTCAGCTCACTCTTCTCCTTCTCCAGCTTCTGCTTCACTCGTTGCAGGTTGTCGATCTGCTCCCCAAGCTCAGCTGTGCTGTCTGCGTGCTTCTTCCGCAGGGTGGCAGCCGTGGCTTCGTGCTGCAGCGTGGCCTCTTCGAGGTCACGACGCATCTTCTGAAATTCTGCCTCACGCTTCTTGTTCATCTCAATCTGAGCTGCAGTAGCTCCTCCTGCTTCTTCCAGGCGCTCGCTGATCTCCTCTAGCTCCCTGGAGAGGTCAGCCCGATGCTTCTCTGCTTTTGCCCGAGAGGTTCGCTCTGCCTCAATTTCCTCCTCCAGTTCCTCAATACGAGCCTAGGGAACAAGAGAGACCCTTCACACCCAGGCCCTCCTCCTA